CCCCAGTTGTTAAAATACATCGGGTATGATAGGGTGGGGGTACACATCCCTCGTACCTTCCTTCTTAATCCCCCACGGGTCGAATTGATAAGACTGAAAAACTTAAAAGCTGGGAAGTATAAACCAATCTGATTCCACTTGACAGCATTTTTTCCAATCATTTACCGTCAGCTGGCTCAGACCCCTGCTAAGTAGAACCATTTTTTTGTTTCCCTTAGGAGTTCGAGTTTGCGGGGGTTCTACTTTTTATTTTTGATCAAATTATTTCACAAACTGTAACGTAGATACTTAGATCCTTTCACTGAAATGAAGCGTACAATTAGTGTGCACGGCACGAATGCCAAACGTACGCGGAAAACAGTCAACCCTTTTCAAATGCTGATAGCAGGTGCGTGCCGCAGAATGCGTTCCAGTCGTCTGAACTGGGGCTGAGGGACTCAATCATTCCAAGAGTGGGCACTCCTCGTCGCCAGTTGTTGTATACTAGGGTCTGATACACTTCTTCTTTAGATTAATGCGGGAATGGACCAAGTCACGACCGCTACACAACTGCTTTATTGGAATACTATGAACTTAATTATAAGCAGTGATATATAAGAATAATCAACTTCGATGAAGGGTGTGCTAACCAATAAATACAGATTATCTCATAGCCAAGTTATTTATCCAATTAATGGAACAAACACTTCAGTATGCCTTGGGCAAATTGTTCTCATAAATATTTCGCATTACACGGTTTAATCAGAGGTAAGTCCAAGTGAATGAACGACATGAGTATATCGGTCCATATAGAAATATTTAGCCTAAACTTTCCAAGGCCTTCATTTACGATACGTCTTCTATCTCGCCGTTTAAGGAAGTTTTTTTTCAGTAATAAATCTTTATTCATTGATTAATTTGCCATATTACAATAAAAAACAAGCAAGCACGATAAGCTACGTGAAATATAGCAAAGTGTGTGGCGAGGAGATTTATATGAAACCACGATGCTTGCATGCGATTAGGTTTTCTCCCAAATTAAGGAACAAAAAGAATGTGCCGGACAAAACATCGAAAAAGATGCATAGGCGTAAAGCCAGATTAGCATCAGGAGGAAAAAAAAAGAAAGAAGGAGGTTGATAATAGTTGAAGGACGCTAGAGTTGGAGTGTTTTTAACTTTGCAAGTAAGGGTATTGAAAAATGCAGGACTTTGAAAGAAAACGGAACCTGCGTTATATTTGCAGTATGGTAAGCGAAAAGCGTGCCTTGTGTCATAGCTATGAGTATTGCTATTAAAGGAGAAGAGGTTATCCCGACTAAAAGGATACATATATTGACCTAACTGAAATAATAAATATCGTGCATTTTAAGTGAATAAAGAAATACATTTGAAGAGGGTCTCAATGGGGTGATGGCTTTTACGGCTAACGGTTAAAATTTTGGCCAATTTACGGCTAACGGTTAACACCTTTCCATTGTTTCCACTTGACATATTGTTTGAGGTAAACTATTTTTACGACTAACGGTTAAAATTTGTCGATCTTTACGCCTAACGGCTAAATTTTTTGGCCGTTTTACGGCTAACGGTTAACCCCATTAAGACCCTCTTTGAAGGTATGGCAATTTCGTCCATCATAAAAATGACTCAACAAATCGCGACAATTCATGTATATCAAGAAAAATGCATTTTTTTTTTTGCAATTTCCGAGTGCGACTCGTCTGCCAGTTCTTTGTTGGTACGTCCGAATAACTTCCTTATTTTTCTAGAATGATATGCAAATCAAATGTACGTGCAAAGATTTTTTAATTTTTAATGATCTACTCCACCTCACTTTACATTTATCATCTAGTCACACTGTTGTGCGCAAACAGCTCAGATTAAAATTCATCACACTTTTTCATAAACTTCTCTTTCGAAATTAAACTTGTCCACTTTGCCACAAAACAACTCTCATTGCAATTCGTTCTGTTTAAAACGTCGTTTCCCTTCGCGAACTTCATTGGTATGAGAAACGCTTGCCTAGTCTTGCGATTAGCAATTAAACGCATTGTTTATACATATATAAATTCGTCTCAAACCCAACTTGCCTATACACGCTTGAGTTACTTCTGGTATGTTGAGTATGCCTATCCGGTGGTGATCAATATTTCGATAGGGTCACGAATTTATAAGTTAAACTTGTTCGTATCATCTTTAAGAGAAGTAAACAGGGATGTTTTCGACGGTTTTAGCGAAGCTTTTCTTATTCGTGGTGTGTTTGCCTCAAATCAAATCAACCATGGTTTCCACAAAGTATGGGGACATTGAAGGTGTTGAAAGTTTTTATCAAAATTCTACTGGACCATTCAAGTCTGTCAGCAAGTTTCTTGGAGTTCCATTCGCTGCACCACCGATTGGAAACCTCAGATTCAAACCACCAGATCCTCCACGGCAATGGAAACCAGACGTGCGTCAAGCTAAACAACACGGCAACATTTGCTGGCAAGATGACGACTATGAGGTCTTCATTCGAATATTCACTCAAGATTTTGTCTACAGCGAGGATTGTTTGTACCTCGATATCTACAGCCCAAATGTAACTTTGAGTTTACCCGTGATGGTGTATATTCATGGGGGAGGTTATGACAGTGGCACTGCATTAATATTTCAAAGCGACATGTTAGCTCTTCATGGGGTGGTGGTTGTCGTGATTCAATACCGTCTCGGTCCATTTGGTTTCATGACCACCGGGGATTCCGCTGCTTCCGGAAATTATGGAATACTGGATCAGGTCGCAGCTCTAAAATGGGTCAAAGAGAACATTAAGAATTTTGGTGGGGATCCCAGCAAGGTGACTATCTTTGGAAAAAGCGCTGGAGGAACAAGTGTCAGCCTTCATCTACTATCACCGCTGTCAAAAAATCTTTTCCACCAAGCCATTGCAGAGAGCGGAGTAGATCTGAGCTCATTTGCAACTCAACCAACTTCAATCGGTGTGCATTTTGCCAAAGAGCTTGCCAAAAAACTGGACTGCACAACAAGCGATCATACCTTAATGGTTGATTGCGTACGCGGTAAAGAAGGCTCGGAAATACAGAAAGCTGCGGAATCAGTGAAGAATACGCATCATCAGTACGTCCGTTGGGCTCCAATCGTGGATAGGAATTTTCTCGATGACTCTCCCCAACAGATGCGTAGAAGAGGAGATTTCAAGAAAGTGCCGTTGATGATAAGTTTCACCAGCAACGAGGGTTCAACTTTTCTTGGCCCCGTAGCGAAATCTTCTTTCGGACTCACAGAGAATGTGAACAACGGTGTAAGCCCGTCATACTTTAAGAAGTTTGTAACAAGGCTCGCACATGCTCAAAGCAGCAGGTTAGTTTTAAATTGTTTTAACTTTGTCGTCAGTGTTGTTCCATGTCTTGAAATGAAGTAGTAAAACTTTTAGTAACCCCTTTCCTTCCCAGAATAAAGTGGGTGTGGTGGGGACGAAACGCCGTCTATAAAGAACGTTCATATTTAATAGAGTTTGTTCCACTTACTTCCAAGAGTGAACATCCAGGATGACAAAACAGTATCTCCCAGTCTATCTTAAAAGAATTGGGAAGAAATTTGTGAAATATTTCAATTTATAATCAGTCTTATTTAATGCCTATCTTAAACTATGATAAGGAGTTTAATTAAGACATTTGACCATCAACAGTTCCCGTTTCCTCACAACCAAATCCAAAATTTTCCAACTTTTCCAAAGGCGAAGCGAAACAGGTTGCAGTTCAAAAGGAAAAAAACAAACAAACAAACAAAAAAACAACCAGGAGCCATAATCCTCGATCCTTAGACAAACTTGATGCTTTCGTCTTTTCATCTCCAGAAACGAAACCGCTGTCCTTATCGCAGACGCGCTGGAATTTATGTACACCCCATGGCCTGACAACAGTGACAAATATGCACTAAGAAGTCAGCTTGTCGACCTAATTGGAGATTACATCTACTTTGCACCAAGTCACAAGGTGGCCGATATTCACAGCAAATACGCGCCAGTTTACATGTACGAATTCGCACACCGTTCAAAGACAGCGAGTCCCACGCCAGAGTGGATGGGTGTGGTTCACGACGCAAACGCGCCTTTTGACTTTGGCGCTCCTTTGACGTTACCTTTCTTTGATGACATCGACAAAGACATTAGTTTGACGATCATGGAACTGTATACAAACTTTGCCAAGTATGGCGATCCAACACCACTGCCAGTCAGCGGTGTTACGTGGGAGAAGTACGACTCAAGTCACAGAGCTTACATCCGAGTTGACAACAAATCCAAGATGGCCGCTTCATTTGCTCCTCGTCGAGTGGCATTTTGGAACAATTACCATCCTAAACTAATTCAAGTCGGCTTTGGTACAAATATCAATAGCGCTAGTGCCAAAGTTGCCAGTATTCATGTCTTGCCCACGCTTGCTTTGACAATTTTCAAAAGTCTTTGCTAATCTCTAACTGTTTTGCCTCACCATGATCAGCAAGTCCACTGATTTAAACCATCGTACTAATTTTCTGTTTTTAGCAAACAGTTAAGGGGGAGAGAAGGGGGCTTGAGGGTTTTTGGTTATGTCACATAAAATCTACTTTATCCCCCATAATGCTCCCCGCCATCATTGGCAGTTAATTGGCAGTCAATTTTCTGAAGCTTTCCCTTTATTATCTGTTCGTGAAACCCTATGATCCGCCCCAAAAATCCTCCACCCCCCCTCTCCCACGCGATTAATAATGACTCTTGCCTTAGCCACGTCACTTTTGAAGCGGAGTTTACATCATAACGACACCGAAAGTCTTCCAAATCAAAAGTTGTGTTATCATATCAAACTTGAACACGGCTTTTTTTTTTCTTGTATGGTTGTGTTTTAAAAATACCTGTTATATAATTCTCCTGATTTGTTCGATTTACTAAATTTCTTTGGTAAAAAATGAGATTTTACAATACAATACTGAGAACCTAAGATTGATTAGGGTACTTGTCAGCACGCTTTTCGTATTTAGATGCGCGCGCGAACCGTGTAGCATGCATTGCACGTCCAAAATGACTGATTACTACGTTCCTGAATATTAATTAAGTCTCTGAGTGGAAAGTAAGGTTGTTGAAATCTTAAATATCTGAGACAAGGAGAGAGAAAGCTTCGTCAAGGTTGAATGAATCTTACATGCCAATAATCGTATACTAAGCATGATGCTGACAAATAAGTAATAGACTCCATGTGGCGTGAAAATATGCTCGGATAGTTGTTCACAGACATTATCTTTACCAAGATGCGCAGAGATTTCCGAGAGCGAAGCTCGAAGAAAACTGAGCTGCAAAGAACAGATAACGTCCAAGTACTTATTCTCGTGCCAAATGGAAGTTAACAAACAAACATCTTACGAATATTTTGTAACGCACTGGAAAAATGTTTACGAATAGGCTATCGTTTAAGGCGTGGGATGTTCACTTTTCAGTGCCCACTGGTACTATTTTATAAACAATAATGTCTCTTCTTCTGTAACAACAGCGAAACGCTCTCTCATCTTGAGTCAAATTTAAGATTACTTCAGAGTTTTCCGTGGATGTAACGTTTGAAAAGTAAGGAAACATCCCTTGGGGTATATACAGCACTAGATATTTCCCAGTTTTAGCTGGGGCATATTCTGTCATGTGATGCGTCAAAACCTACATCGCGTGCGAGCAAAAACATTGTTGGGTTAAGAGTTAGGTAATATTTCCTCACAGGTCTGGTGGTCATGGTGGTCCGGTATCAATATCTGACAATTTTTCTAACTTTTTCCCCCTCCATTTTCGTCATTGTTTCCTCGCTTTCTTCTTCAGTAACTTTGATCTTCAATCAGACAGATAATGTATAGTCTAGACCAAAATAATCCCCAATTAAGTCTTTAAAATAAACAGGGGATCGCATTTGTTTTGTTCGTCGCCCCCTCCGATTGGTCAAGAATATACCTACACCAATTTCCTAACGATTCAGCTTTAAAACTAAAACTAAAACTAACAGTGACCAGATCATTCGCGTTTTCCCCGCGTTTGAGGCGTCATGGACCAGTAATTATTTATCACGTGAGGAATCAGAAGATTTTGGGGGGATCAAATGGTTTCAAGGGGGACCGGAGGGGGGATGAGTCGTCTCGAACAGAGTATAGAGGGGAGACTGTAGAAATTTGACGGCCAATGACGGGGGGGGGGGGGGGGGGGGGGGGAGGGGAATCATTTGAATACTACGGATCGAGCTTTTTATGGGGGGGGATCAGGTAAATGTTATTGTGACGCAACCAAAATCTTCCAACCGCCCCTCCCCGAGAAAAAATTATCGTAATAATATTTTGCTCTGGGTTCTTTTTGCCTTACTGTGATTAGTCTCCTCTGGAAACAGTCCATGGCCATTGAAAAGCGGTGTGGAAAATGGCCAAGGTTACATATTTTGATTACTGGTCATGAAACGTAAGCGGATAAAATTACTACGAATGCAAAATTTGTGACGTCAACAGGCTTTCAGTACATGCTGGCATTAGTTTCCATCTACGTCAATAAAAATAAAGAATAAAATCTGATAACCACCTGTCGAGGGTGGGCTGAGAAATTGAACTTCTGCCATGCAGGCCGGTTCATTAGAGAACACTTGATACTTAATAACACAGACATTTCTCACAGATGATGTAAGTTGTTTTCCATGTCGCAGGATTTGGCCGGCCTCAGATTAAAACGAACAGATCTGCAATGAATTGGAGGGCCGTCAGAAGTAGATGGGACTCTTTCTGAGCGAGATTGTTGTGAAGATCAAGACTTTTAGGAAGCGTGATCTGTTTCAGCTGAAAATCGAATCTCAACTGTTTACTTCTTTAGGCAATCCAAGCCACTTATGAATTTGAACCCCCACGTCGAATTTGAAAGGCTATTAAACCAAACATTTTGAAAAGAGAAGGGGGGAGGGGGTGTGGAGGGAGTGCGGAATAACCTAAAAGCCGTGGTGAATTTTTAGACGTTTTAGTCCGTGTAATTTCTATGACTAGAAATCACACCTCACCACGTAGATTTTGAAATTATCAAGAGGTTAATTAAATTATGGTTAATTATCTCTTGGACGTTCGGAAAAAAATAACCTGACCTCCTAAATGAATTTCAAGACGAAGTGTTTGATAACAAATCTTTTCCAAGCTGCCTTCTCCCCCCCCTCCCTCCCACCTCCCTGAACTAAACATCTCGTTGTTTCTACGGAATGAGAACGTCTAAAATTGACTTTTATCATGATCGCTGAATTTAAATACTTTGTGTCACGATTATGCATAGCTTCGAATCTTAATCCTTCTTGATGCTTCCTCGGTATCAGGAAGTTCGAGAAGAAGGAATTTAGCTTTTGGGGTTGGAGCAAAGTTGAACCATTTTTTTCCTCAAGGAAATAATGTTCGAGTTGAGGAATGTAATGACTTCTTAATTGGTAATCGTTTATTCTTGAACGAGTTGTTATTTATAATCAAGGATGCTCTGTTATCAAGACCACATTATTTGTATTGCGGCCATTAAGTTCTCGACTTCCTTAAATAAACTCGTGCAAAACATTTTTGCTGAGTTATCTAACACAGGTCAAGTTCTATAAGTCACTGTGCGTTGAAAGAAGCGCGAGTCAAATGGGAGACAGATTGAAACTGTCTGTCACTAAGTTTTCATTTATGGAAACGGAAGGAGCCTTCTAGTATTTGTCGGTGTGAGATTGCAAGCAATTATATGACCTAGGTAATCTTTGAGGTTGTTTTGCTTTTGTTTCGGTCGGATAACGCACGGAGCGCTGTTTTTTTACATGACAAGTCGACAACGATGGTATTCTTCAAGACCTGCTACATAGTTTCCTTTTTAATGACCGCAGGACTTTTCTTAGCTTTTGCTGAAGATGATTTGATTATAGTGAAAACACGATTTGGATCGGTCAGGGGAAATACTCGTCGTTTTGATGACCTCAGCATGCCCATCCGAGCTGTGGATAAATTTCTTGGGATTCCGTTTGCAGCGCCGCCTGTGGGTGAGTTACGGTTTAAGCCTCCGCAGCCCCCCCAGGTTTGGAACCCGTCCATTTACGATGCCTCGCATTTTAAGGACATCTGTATTCAAGATCCTGAGTACAATGAGTTCTTCTGGCCAAATCTTTCCATTCCACAAAGCGAAGATTGCTTGTATCTAAATGTGTATTCACCCCATCGGAACTCGAGCTCCAAGGAACTCTTTCCAGTCATGGTTTACATTCACGGAGGGGGCTATGAAGCTGGAACCCCCGCTGTCAGTCCGGGAGATGTGATCCCCTTATGGGGTGTCGTTCTGGTGACCATACAATACCGCTTAGGCCCCTTTGGGTTCATTACTTCTGGTGACGTGAAGGCTCCTGGAAATTATGGAATGTTGGATCAGGTCGAGGCTCTAAAATGGATCCAAAACAACATAGAGCCCTTTGGGGGTAATTCGTCGGCGGTTACCATATTTGGTGAGAGCGCTGGAGGGTCCAGCGTAGGCCTTCTACTCTTGTCCCCTCTTACGAAGGGTCTTTTTCACCATGCAATATCGAACAGCGGAGTGGACCTCTCCCCTTTTGCCATTGGGTCAAACGAAGAAGTAACAAAACAGAGCAAGATGGCCGCCAAACAGGTGGGTTGTGAAGCAGAGGATAGTGGTAGAATGATCAAATGTCTACGTTCGATTGACGCCTTGAAGTTCTCAGTGAAGGATGCAAATGTGTGGAGGCCCATAGTTGATGGAAACTTTCTTCTGGACACTCCACGAAAGCTGAGAAGGGCCGGAAATTTCCATCATGTTCCGTACTTGGCTGGGTTTACTAGCCAGGAAGGCACCTACTTTTTCCCACAATTCCTCGAGAACACAACGCCTGAAGATTTCCTTCATCGAACTAAGGAGGTATTTAATACGATTGGCAACGAGTATGGACAAATGTTGAACGGAGATCTTCCAAAGACTCTTCTCGATACCTTAATGTTGTTGTATACACCGTGGCCCGATCAAAATGATCACATTAAGGTGAAAATTGCATTAGCAGATGAAGTCGGGGACTTCACCATGAGTGCCCCAACCCATGCAGATCTGGCTCTTCACAGTAAAAACGCTCCTGTGTTCATGTACGAATTTGCACATATGTCTACGCTCAACCTAAGGCCCGCATGGAAAGGACCCTCACATAAGGATGACACCCCGTACCAGTTTGGGTTTCCTTTAATGAATCTAACCATTTTACAACAGTATAACGAGGCAGACCGAAACCTAAGCTACATGTTAATCACGCTTTTTACGAACTTTGCCAAATATGGTAAACCTACACCACAGCCTGTCAACGATGTATCATGGGAAGGATTCAACACGAGTCACATGGTGTATCTTCGTGTCCAGTCGCAGCCTGAGATGGCTGTCAACTACAAACCAACAAAAATGGCGTTTTGGAATGAGTTCTACGAGAGGATGTTGTTAGAGGAGCCCCATACTTGCCATTCTACATCTGGTGCTCTTAAACGGTGCTTCCTTTTCCGTAACTATATCGTATTGTCTTGCGTCTTCTTGTCTAACATGATTTTTGGTTAATAAGAAAATATATTTCCATTTGTTACGTAAAGATTAGAGAACAAAATCATCTGGAGTCAGGGAAAAAGGTAGCACCCAGATTTTTAATGTCTGTGAAGGACTGTCTTTTCAGAGGAGCAAAAAAACAGTGGTGCTGTAGCGATCAGTTGCTCAAGGCTTTATGTCGACTTGCCTAAATTTTCATATTAGAGAGCTAGTGTTTAAAATAAAGAAATGTAAAGTAGAACTACCCTTAAACACAAAAATGTAGAAGAAACAGGTCTAGTTTGAAAATTTAATGAAATTCTGTTATCTT